TAAAGTGTGGAGTGTTGAGTGGAAAGTGTGGAGTGTGAAGTGTGGAGTGTAAAGTGTGGAGTGAGGAGTGTAAAGTGCGGGGTGTGGAGTGAGGAGTGTAAAGTGTGGAGTGTAAAGTGTGTAGTGAGGAGTGTAAAGTGTGGAGTGTGGAGTGTAAAGTGTGGAGTGTTGAGTGGAAAGTGTGGAGTGTGATGTGTGGAGTGTAAAGTGTGGAGTGAGGAGTGTAAAGTGTGGAGTGAGGAGTGTAAAGTGTGGAGTGTGGAGTGTGGAGTGTGGAGTGAGGAGTGTAAAGTGTGGAGTGTGGAGTGTAAAGTGTGGAGTGTAAAGTGTGGAGTGTGGAGCGTAAAGTGTAGAGTGTGGAGTCTGGAGTGGAAAGTGTAGAGTGTGGTGTGTAGAGTGTGGAGTGTGGAGTGTAAAGTGAGGAGTGTAAAGTGTGGAGTGTGGAGTGAGGAAAGTGCCACGCTTGCCACGCAAAACGACATGACAACCTGCTTGGAAACTGTCGAAAAGGAGAGATTTTGCGGCTTCCCCCATAGACACGACGACGCCACAGGAAAAACCAGAGACCCGAGACGAGACGCATGGATGCAGAAAAACGAGCATTTCGCGCGAGACTTCCTCCAATTTTGACATTTTCAACACGTTAGCAAACAGCTTGGAATGTCACAAAGTGCAACGCCTGCCACGCAAAACGACATGACAACCTGCTTGGACACATTCGAATAGGAGAGGTTTTGCGGCTTCCCCCATAGACACGGCGAAACCACAGGAAAACCAGAGACTCGAGACGAGACACGTGGGAGCACCAAAACGAGCATTTCGTGCGAGACGTCCTCCAATTTTCACACTTTGAAACATGCCGAAGAGACATGTTTTGCAGCTTCCCCCATAGACACGGCGAAGCCACCATAAAACCAATGACGCGAGATGAGACAGGTGGTGGGAGCACCAAAACGAGCATTTTGTGCGAGACTTCCTCCAATTTTCACACTTTGGAGCTTCAAAATCGACGTTTTCCTACGAGTTTTCCTTAGAACCCGAAAAATTGCAACCTCAAAATCAATGTTTCGTGCGAGGCTTCCGTGAATTTTCAGCACATCACAGAAAATGCCACGACTGCCACGGAATTTGCCCCTTGTCGCCACTTGACGCAGCCCTGCCAATGCGATTTGCAAAAAACACGCAACATGACACGTCTAAAGTGCTGCGCCTGCCACGAAAAATGACGATGGACACGTCCAAAGTGCTGCGCCTGCCACGAAAACTGCAACACATCTTCTGAAAACGTCACAAAAGTGTTGCGCCTGCCACGCAAAACGACTTTCGACACGTTCCAGAACACGTCTGAATGTCACGAAGTGCCACGCCTGCCACACGAAACGAAGCAACGACACGTCTGAAACCTCCAAAAAGGACCCCTCCTGCAGAACTTCCCATAGGCACGGCCATACGGGGATCGCGCGGACGGTTGCGGACGGTTGCGGACGCGGACGCAACGTCGAGCGAACACACCCTCAACCCCCAGACCCCCAGAGTGAAACGGGACCCCTTGCTACGCATTCGGGAAAAATGGTAGCAAACTATGATGTGGGGCCCCCTAGATAGCTAAGTTGGTTTATAACTCCCATAACTATGGTTTATGATATCTATAACTATAGTTAACGGGGTCTATAAACCAACTTATAACTGGGGGGGCCCACATTGTAATGGCTTGCATGTGGGGCCAGCAAATGCCCCAAGGTAAGTCTTCACACGATGAGCCTTCACAAATGACAACGCTGACCTCATAGGAAGACACTTGTGTAAACACGAGTTGTCCGGCTGCTCCAAGCAGACCATGATGCCAATGGCACACGACACAAGGAACATGATGGCTGCTACCTGCATGTGGCTATTGCCAGTCCCGACAAATGCTCTCGCTGTATTTCCCCACCACTGATTTCAGTCATACCTTTGACTTTGCGCCAGATATAATATGACAAATGAAGAACAAGGCGGTCCAAGCCAAGCCAACAAAGACCATGTTCACATATGCTCATGAGCATATCCATCCAGAGAGGAAGCCCACATGGTATGATGTTTTATTCCTGATAATCATCCATAAGAGGGTCAAACAGATATAATGAGATTATATATTATGATTAAACCAACCGGTAACCAACTATATCTGGTTGGTGGTTGACCTACCCCTTTGAAAAATATGAAAGTCAGTTATTGGGGTTACTATTCCCAATATATGGAAAAATGTTCCAAACCACCAACCAGAATGTGATATTTGGGTGTGTTTAGAAGTGGAACATTGCAGTGTAATTTAACACCCGTTAACAAACCTAACGGCGGTTTGAGCAGCAGGAATATGTGAGTTTCAGCAACGGACATCAAGATTTGCTTCGCGAATTCATCCCAAAAGAGTTGCTTGAGGGCGTCATCCGCAAAAGAATTGGCAATCAATGGAATTCACGGCAGACGAACAACGGAGGTTTAATGAATGGAAGTCAAACAAACAAAGCTAAATGTTTAATTAATTGATGGTTTGGCAGTTCAATTAATGGAAATTGATGGTTTAATTCACCTTCACCATGAATCACCATCAATCAGCGTTGACTTCACCATTCGAGATCCCATGGTGCACCCGGCATGTTCCAGGGCATCTCGCAGATTCAAAACATGTCAAAGGCAAAATAAAGTAACAGGGCTTCACAGGGGCTATAGCATTATAGTGGCTATAGTTAATCCTCCTATGATTATACTGCAGAATCCTGTATATCCTGTAGATAGTATTGTTCCCCTACAATCATCAAGCAACAGGGGTTAAGCAGCTGCTGTTCAACTCAGCAATCAAACAATGAATACTCAGATTCTTTTTCCACTAAAGCTTCCATTTAGTTCAGGGGTTTTCCCAGCCATGTTTGATTAGCATAGTATATTCACATTCATTTCCATTAAACCCTATGACCTCCCATTAAATCCTATTAATACGAATCCTAGTAACTCCCATTAAATCCTATCTCCTTCCATGAAATCCTTTATATTCCCATTAATTAACTCCCATTAACTCCTAGTATTGGCTTAAGTTATTTTCCCCCAGTTTCCATTAAATAAATCCTATGAACTCCCATGAAAAATCCTGCTGATACCAGGGCAGGTGAGTTTTCCATTGCTTCAATGCTACTTGGTGGTTCATCCCACGAATCGTAAGTAGGTTATAACACCAGTTTTGAGTAGATTTACCCTACTTATCCCACTAACAAAACCAGGGATATAACCTACTTACGATTCGTGTGATAAGCTATAGCTAAGTATAATTATACCACTATTAATACGTGGTTCTTTAACCAGTATGAAGCACTACTGTGGATGGTTGCGAAATCCTGCACCACCTTGGATGCTTGAAACCCCAACAAAATAATGGCATGTTTACCATCGTTTTCAACTGGTGCAGGATTTCGCAACCATCCACAGTATCATAATAGTCCTATGAATAGTCTTATGGGGTAAACGAAAACCATCCTAATTTCTATTACCCATAGGATCCATGTATGCTATATATGGTAACATTTACCATCAATATACCCCCAATGTTAGCATATATATACCATACATGGATCCTATGGGTAATAGTCCTATCATATTTAAATATAAAGTGGGCGCCATCAAATATAAACCCCTGACCTCATCCAAGAAGACCACTGCCGGCGCCGCTTCTCGCACCACTTCCTCAAGGGCCTGGAGGGCTGGAGTTCGCCACTGGGCATTGAAAAATCGGGAGATCCCCTACAAAATCTGGGAAAATGATAGGAACATACGGGAACATATGGAAAAATCGCCAATGGATTTACTGTAAATTGGCATTTCAATGGGAAAATGATTTCTACATCATGGGAAAGCAGATCACAAGAAAAATGTTGGAAATCATGGAAATAACGGAATCTGGCCACCATTTTGTTGGCAAAAAACACCCCCAGTTTCTTGCCAAAGACGTCATAGCCTCTGGATAGGTAAAACAAAGTTTCAATTCTGCCGAGAAAGTAGACATATAATCTGGTTGGCGGTGCAATAACCATCTTGAAAAATGATGGAGTTCGTCAATGGGAAGGATGACATCCCATATATGAAATGGAAAGTCATAGAAGCCATGTTCCAAACCACCAAGCAGAACCGTATTAAGTTCCTATTAAGATATATTAAGTCCCATTAACCCATGTTAAGTCATAAAAACCATGTTTGAAACCACCAACCAGTAATCACAATTAATCATTATTAACCATTATTAGCCATTATCAACCCATTACAACCCCCATTAATCACCATTAAATCACCATTAATCACCAACCAACCAACCAACCAACCAGTAATCCCCCATGACAAGAAGTCAACCGAAATTGATGGATTTTTTGTCTCCAAGAAAATCACCGGCTTATTTCCGTGTTGCTTCAACGGCTAGAAATTGACTGGTTGGTGGTTGACCTACCCCCCTGAAAAATATGAGTCAGTTGGGATTATTGACCACCAACCAGTAGTTAGTTATGGATAGTGGACACCACATGACAACCCATCATCCCATTCCGTTGGATCATCATCCCAACTATTGGGGAAAATAAAAGCCATGTTCCAAACCACCAACCAGTTGATGGTTAAAACCCGAAAGTCGACCTCTATTTTTCATGGTTTCCGCTTCCAACCGAGAACATAACATGATTAAATTGAGTAGGAAAAAAAAAGTCACCATTCTGTTTATATCCCCATCATACCCCATGATATCCCGTATCCATTATTAACCATTATTAACGGTTATAAACCATCACAATCCCATTCATCACCATCAAATCACCCTTAAATCACCCTTAAAACCCATAAAATCCATATCAAATCCCATGAAATCGCCATTTCTTGATGGATGACATCACCGTGATTTAGGGAATCTCTTGGTTGGCCCCGAAGGGGAGCCACAGCCAAGCCAGGTGCCTGGACCCGTCGTTGCGACTCCCCATAGAACTTGGACATCACGTCGCCCGGGCGAACTCGGCAGGCGGGAGGACGGACGAGTGCAGGGGACGCGGTCATTGATGCTTAATGATGGTGAATTAATGGTGATTATAATGGTTGATACTCGTGAATCAATGGTTAATGATGGTTACCCTCTGGTAAACTAGCATAACTATCGAAATCTGCATTTTTAATGGCTTATTCACCTACAAATGGCAATTTTCAATGTAGGATGATATATGAACAATGGATATAAATAGTTCAATGAAATAAATAAATGAATATATAAACGTGGCTGGGCAATGGATACAAACACTGAAATAACTGGTTACAGCATGAAGGTTTCCGATTGGGAAAATATATGTGAACCATCCATTTCTGGAGGCGTTAATGGTACCCTCTGGTAAACTAACATAGCTATGGAAAATCACTGGTTTTAATGGGTAAATCCACTATAAATGGCCATTTTCAATAGCTATGTTAGTTTACCAGAGGGTAAATCATCCCACGAATCGTTTTTGTAGCTAATCCAAGCAATCCCTTCCCCCTAAGAACCAAACATTGATGATGGGATATGTGCTTATATCATGTTATATCCACATATACCTGGAACTGCACTTCCTATTCAAATTTCAATGGTCCTATGGCCATCCAGTTGGTGGTGTATGTTTATCATGGGTGTGTATTTTTGTGCGGGTATAGTGGGTGTATAAGGGATATACAATGGAAATCATCTAGCGATGGGAATCGAATGAGGATACACAATCCGTTGTTGGTTTCTCCATGGGTATAGCCATACTGAAAATCGCCAAAAACGAGGATATAACCACTGGAACCGTGACGCCGTGCCATCCCCCCAATATGAAAAACACCCCCATTCCATGGTCCCAATGATGTGGAAATTCCCTACCAAACCCTTAAGCCAGAGGCTGTTCAATATGGGGGATGGGACTATATCAAAGATTCGAAGCTTAGTTCACCCCCTTGTGATGTCAGGGCCAATTTTCAGCCTACTAATCCATACTCATCCCACTGATCACCGAGGACCGAACCCACCTAACCCACTTAGGATCCCTCGCAGTGTCACAGATCCCAGTGATGTCAGGCTAAATTCATCCTACTCATCCCACTAATCGAGGAGATCACCATTGACATTAATGGCCCATTAATAGCCCCTTAATAGCACATTCATCACCACTAACCCATTATATAATCATCCATACTAATCTCACATTATTTCACCCCATTTTCTTGGTTAACAATTAACCATTATTTCATCCCACATTAACCGTTAAACATCCATACTAATCCCATTAATAACCATTAATTCAAAACTTTGACCACTATTTGACATTAATAACCATTAATCCATACTAATCCATATTAACAATTATTAGCCATTATTAGTCATCATCATCTTGTTATTAACCATTGACCATTATTAGCCCATCATTAGTAGCCATTCATCCATACTAATCTGGTTGGTGGTTTCAACCCCTCTGAAAACCCATTAGTCAGTGTTTCAACCCCTCTGAAAAATATTAGTCAATGGGAAGGATTATCCCATGTATTATGGAAAATAAAAATGTTTGAAACCACCAGCCAGCTATATTCCCATTAACTCCCATTACTCCTAGTATTGGCTTAAGTTATTTTCCCCGGTTTCACAACTGAATGGAAAGTCATAAAAGCCATGTTCCGAACCACCAACCAGCTATTATCCCTTCATCCATTGTTAATAACCATTATTAGCCCATCATCATTAATATCCATTATTAATAGCCCATCATCATCATCATCATCCTTCTTATCATTCTTCTTATTATTATCAGCCCATCATTACTAGCCATTCATCCATACGAATCCATACGAATTCTCATCGAGGTGCCATGGAAGAAGCTGGCGTCCTCCTCCAACTCCACGGCCGCGGCGCGTGCCAGCATGGTCTTGCCACAGCCCGGGGGACCTGCAATGCGAGGCAAAACGGGTGAGGGCCGCAGATGGGAAGGGTTTCCCCGTGTTTGAAATGGAGGTTTTGCTAGGAACATATGGGAAAACCACTGTAAATGATTAAAAAAATGGGTTTTACTAGAAAAAAAGCGAAAATCTGGGAACATATGGAAAAAACACTATAAATGGTTAAAACTTGAGGTTTGAATGGGAAAATGTTCGGAAAAACATCTGTACATGAATCGTTAAGAAGGACCTGGCAAGTGAAGGCTAGGAATCACAAGCAATCACAAGTAACCACGAGTAACAACAAGTACCGGTAACCAAAAGTAATCACAACTAACCACAAGTAACCACAAGTAATCACAACTAATCACAAGTAACCGCAAGTAGCAAAAAGTAACCACAAGTAACAACAAGTAATCACAAGTAATCACAACTAATCGCATGTAAGCACAAATAATCACATGTAATCACAAATAACCACAAATAACCACAAGAAACCACAAGTAAACACAAGTAACCACAAGTAACCACAAGTAACCGCCAGTAACCACAAGAAACCCCTAGTAAACACAAGTAACCACAAGCAACCGCAAGTAACCACAAGTAATCACAAGTAACGACAGGAAATCACAAGTAATCACAAGTAACCACAAGTAATCACAAGTAACCACAAGCAACCACAAGTAACCACGAGTAATCACAAGCAATCACAAGTAATCCAGAAGTAATCACAAGTAACCGCACGTAACCACAAGTAATCACAACTAATCACAAGTAACCACAAGTAACACAAGTAACCACAAGCAACCACAAGTAACCACAAGTAAACACAAGCGACAACAGGTAATCACAACTAATCACAAGTAACCACATCTAATCACAAGTACTCACCAAGAAACCACAAGTAATCCACAAGTAATCCATAGGTAATCCACAATTAATCTCAAGTAACCACAAGTAACCACAAATAACCACAAGTAACCACAAGAAACCCCTAGTAACCACAAGTAACCACAAGCAACCGCAAGTAGCCACAAGTAATCACAAGTAAGCACAAGTAAGCGCAAGTAACCGCAAGGTAAAAGCAACTATTCACAAATTAGCAACAAGTAACCGCAAGAAACCACAATCAAGGACAAGTAACAACAAGTAACAACAAGCAACAGCAAGAACCAACAATATCACAAGTAACCACAAGTAATCACAGGTAACCACAAGTAACCACAAGTAATCACAAGTAACCACAGGAAACAACAAGTAATCGCAAGTAACAACAAGTAACCAAACGTAAACACAAGCAAACACAAGTAACCAAAAGTAAACAACCACAAGTAACAACAAGAAACTACAAGAAATCACAAGTAAACAAAAGAAACCACAAGAAACCACTAGTAACTACAAGCAACCACAAGTAACCACAAGTAATCACAAGTAACAACAAGTATCCACAAATAACCACAAGTAACCACATGTTCCCAAAAGTAGCCACAAGTAATCACAAGTAACCACAAGTAACTACATAAAAAAAAATCAACAAGTAATCCCAAGTAAACCCAAGTAACCACAAGTAACCACAAGTAATCACAAATAACCACATGTAACCACGAAAAATCAGGAATAATCACAGGTAACCGGAAGGAACCACAAGAAACCACAATAAACCACAAGTAACCACATCTAATCACAAGCAACCACAAGTAACTACTAATCACAAGCAACCACAAGTAATCGCAAGTAACCAGAAGTAACCACAAGCAACCACAAGCAACCAAAAGTAATCACAACTAATCACAAGTAACCACAAGTAACCACAAGTAACCACAAATAACCACAAGTAACCACAAGAACCCCCTAGTAACCACAAGTAACCACAAGTAACCACAAGCAACCGCAAGTAACCACAAGTAATCACAAGTAACGACAAGAAATCACAAGTAATCACAAGTAACCGCAAGCAATCACAAATAAGCACAAGTAATGACAAGTAACCGAAAGTAACCACAAGTAGTGACAAGTAACCAAAAGTGACCACAAGTAGTCACAAGTAATCACAGGCAACCTCAAGTAAGCACAAGTAACCACAAGTAGCCGAAAGTAACCACAAGTAACGGCCAGTAATCACAAGTAACCAAAAGTGACCACAAATAGTCGAAAGTAATCACAAGCAACCTCAAGTAAGCACAAGTAACCACAAGTAGCCGAAAGTAACCACAACTAACGACCAGTAATCACAAGTAACCAAAAGTGACCACAAGTAGTCGCAAGTAATCACAAGTAACCTCAAGTAAGCACAAGTAACCACAAGTAGCCGAAAGTAACCACAAGTAACGACCAGTAATCACAAATAACCAAAAGTGACCACAAGTAGTCGCAAGTAATCACAAGTAACCTCAAGTAAGCACAAGGAACCACAAATAGCCGAAAGTGACCACAAGTAACGACCAGTAATCACAAATAACCACAAGTAACCACAAGAAACCCCTAGCAACCACAAGTAACCACAAGCAACCGCAAGTAACCACAAGTAATCACAAGTAAGCACAAGTAAGCGCAAGTAACCGCAAGGTAAAAGCAACTATTCACAAATTAACAACAAGTAACCGCAATAAACCACAATCAAGGACAAGTAACAAAAAGTAACAACAAGTAACAGCAAGAAACAACAGTAATCACAAGCAACCACAAGTAATCACAGGTAACCACAAGTAACCACAAGTAATCACAAGTAACCACAGGTAACAACAAGTAATCGCAAGTAACAACAAGTAACCAAACGTAAACACAAGCAAACACAAGTAACCAAAAGTAAAAAACCACAAGTAACAACAAGAAACTACAAGAAATCACAAGTAAACAAAAGAAACCACAAGTAACCACAAGAAACCACTAGTAACTACAAGTAACCACAAGTAACCACAAGTAACCACATGTTCCCAAAAGTAGCCACAAGTAACCACAAGTAATCACAAATAACCACAAGTAACTACATAAAAAGAACAACAAGTAATCCCAAGTAAACCCAAGTAACCACAAGTAACTACAAGTAATCACAAATAACCACCTGTAACCACGAAAAATCAGGAATAATCACAGGTAACCGGAAGGAATCACAAGAACCACAATAAACCACAAGTAACCACATCTAATCACAAGCAACCACACGTAACTACTAATCACAAGTAACCACAAGTAATTGCAAGTAACCAGAAGTAACCACAAGCAACCACAAGTAACCAAAAGTAATCACAACTAATCACAAGTAACCACAAGTAGCAAAAAGTAACCACAAGTAACAACAAGTAATCACAAGTAATCACAACTAATCGCATGTAAGCACAAATAATCACATGTAATCACAAAGAACCACAAATAACCACAAGAAACCACAAGTAAACACAAGTAACCACAAGTAACCACAAGTAACCGCCAGTAACCACAAGAAACCCCTAGTAAACACAAGTAACCACAAGCAACCGCAAGTAACCACAAGTAATCACAAGTAACGACAGGAAATCACAAGTAATCACAAGTAACCGCAAGTATCCTCAAGTGACCACACGTAGCCGAAAGGTTACAAGTAACGACCAGTAATCAAAAGAAAGCAAAAGTGACCACAAGTAGTCGCAAGTAATCACCAGTAACCTCAAGTAAGCACAAGTAACCACAAGTAGCCGAAAGTAACCACAAGTAACGACTAGTGATCACAAGTAATCAAAAGTGACCACCAATACTCGCAAGTAATCACAAGCAACCTCAAGTAAGCACAAGTAACCACAAGTAGCCGAAAGTAACCACAAGTAACGACCAGTAATCACAAGTAACCAAAAGTGACCACAAGTAGTCGCAAGTAATCACAAGTAACCTCAAGTAAGCACAAGTAACCACAAGTAGCCGAAAGTAACCACAAGTAACGACCAGTAATCATAACCACAAGTAGCCGAAAGTAACCACAAGTAACGACCAGTAATCACAAGTAACCAAAAGTGACCACAAGTAGTCGCAAGTAATCACAAGTAACCTCAACTAACGACCAGTAATCACAAGTAACCAAAAGTGACCACAAGTAGTCGCAAGTAATCACAAGCAACAAGTAATCACAAGTAACCAAAAGTGACCACAAGTAGTCGCAAGTAATCACAAGTAACCTCAACTAACGACCAGTAATCACAAGTAACCAAAAGTGACCACAAGTAGTCGCAAGTAATCACAAGCAACCTCAAGTAAGCACAAGTAACCACAAGTAGCCGAAAGTAACCACAAGTAACGACCAGTAATCACAAGTAACCAAAAGTGACCACAAGTAGTCGCAAGTAACCACAAGTAAACTCAAGTAAGCACAAGTAACCACAAGTAGCCGAAAGTAACCACAAGTAACGACCAGTAATCACAAGTAACCACAAGTAGCCGAAAGTAACCACAAGTAACGACCAGTAACCTCAAGTAAGCACAAGTAACCACAAGTAGCCGAAAGTAACCACAAGTAACGACCAGTAATCACAAGTAACCAAAAGTGACCACAAGTAGTCGCAAGTAACCACAAGTAACACAGTAACCTCAAGTAAGCACAAGTAACCACAAGTAGCCGAAAGTAACCACAAGTAACGACCAGTAATCACAAGTAACCACAAGCAAGTAGCCGAAAGTAACCACAAGTAACGACCAGTAATCACAAGTAACCAAAAGTGACCACAAGTAGTCGCAAGTAATCACAAGTAACCTCAAGTAAGCACAAGGAACCACAAGTAGCCGAAAGTAACCACAAGTAACGACCAGTAATCACAAATAACCAAAAGTGACCACAAGTAGTCGCAAGTAATCACAAGTAACCTCAAGTAAGCACAAGGAACCACAAGTAGCCAAAAGTAACCACAAGTAACGACCAGCAATCACAAGTAACCAAAAGTGACCACAAGTATTCGCAAGTAATCACAAGTAACCTCAAGTAAGCACAAGGAACCACAAGTAGCCGAAAGTAACCACAAGTAACGACCAGTAATCACAAGTAACCAAAAGTGACCACAAGTAGTCGCAAGTAATCGCAAGTAACCTCAAGTAAGCACAAGTAACCAAAATCAGACATATGGGTCTGCACAGGTGACCACACATATGCGTAAATAACCTTAATTAACCAACAAAAACTTGAAACAAACATTGAAAACATACAATTAATCGCAGGTAGCTACAAGTAGCCGCTAGCGACCAGAAGTACGTACAAGCAATCAGGAGTAAGTACAAGTAACCATGAGTATTGGTAAGTATCACCAGCGAACTCCGGGTACATTGGCAGGCATCCCCATCAATTGGAGATGCTCTGCTGGCAGCAAAGGGCGTTCCATCAACTCAGCCCGAGCCTCATCAGCCGTCTTCGGAGGCAACAGGAGCCAGAGTTTGCTGCCCACAGGGCTGGGCAATACACTCCCACTGGCACCCTTTTTGGGTTCTGGCGTTGACCAGTCCTGATGGTTCGCCAGAATTGAAATCGTTGACGCCCTCAGGGTGTCCTTGAAGGAGCCAGCTGCCACAGCTTGTCACACAGCCGTTTCACACTACAGCTTGTACAGCCTGCCACCACCAAAACAATACACATAATTTGGATTTATCCATGGCATAATGGAATATTTGATATTTGGTGCTGTTGCTTCAAAATTCAGGTAATGGAATGAAGTATTTGGTATTTTTGGCACTTCATCAAACATCAGGAAGGCACTCTGTCTCTCTCTCTCTCTGTGTATTTTTCTTGTCTTTATTGTGCATGTTGAAGTTTGATGATATAGTAACCATCAGTCGTGGTTTTTAGCATGATAGCGAAATCAGTATGATTAAATGTAGAGGTATGAAATGAATCATTCACTATCTTGAATTGGTATGCATGAGCTAGTTTGTGCTACCGGGTATCCTTTATTCATACAAATCATCGATCTGAACAATTAAGGTGGTATTGAAATGATGGTTTGCACTGATAGTCAATTGACAATGTCAATAATATACCTATACTCATCGTTGGCGAGTGATGGTGGTTATAGAATGACATGGTACATCAATTCCCAAGTCATAAACTGTTTGTGTTATATTGCTGTGGTTGAAAGTTGTTCATACTGGTTAATATAGTGGTTGGTTGTGGTTGACAGTGCTTAACACTGTTTAACAATGGAATCGTCGCATGAGCAACTGGAATTTGAATAGATAATCACATGTTATTTGGAAACTATACATAACTGAGCGTGTCATGGCATATCCGAAGTGTTTAGCACTGGTTAGCAACCATCTGAATTACATAGAACACATCCAAAATATTCCAAAATAGTGTTCGAGGAGGATCAACATTCTTTAAATATTTAAATATGAAACCAGGAAGCAAATCACTAGTCAATACTCGAGGAATCACTACCAGGAACCACACATATCTGGTTGGTGGTTTTAAACATCTTGACGCCATCAAAAGATTCAAGGGGGTTCCTGCAGAATTGCCCATCATCTTATGAAAATTGCTGAACATCCAGGGTAAAACCTTGAACAAAATACTAATAAGTGATAATAACTATAAGTGGTTGTTTTTGGGGCAATCATTTATGTATTATAGTAACCTAATAAGTAATACTATTACATAGTCACTGCTTACGATTGCCCCAAAAATAACAGGATCTCGATTACCCACATGGTGGATTTCCAGGAACAGCCCCATCTCACAAGGCCCGCCGTGCACGCGCACCGTACAAGAGCAATCCCTTAGGTCCACTTCGCACACCAGAGAACTTGGCGAATCGGAGGATTCACGTGGCAGATCTTGGTTCAAATTGTGGGGGGTAGTGGTTACCCCACAAAAATATGGATTTAATTACGGAAAATTGGGATTCAAAAGATGTCATAGAGATTTAATTAAAAACTTCGGTATCATAGGTCAATGAAACTCCATATCTTGCATCTATTTTCCCTTTTGCAAACCGGTTGGTGGTTTGGAACATGAATTTTATTTGTCCATATATTGGGAATACTCATCCCAACTGACTTTCATATTTTTCAGAGGGGTTGATTATTCTTTGAGACATGGAGGAGTAGAATCTTGGTGTGAAAAAAAGAGAACATCTGGATGTCGAAGCTTAAGCCATGTCCAGATAATTTAAACCAACATCTTTGATGATCGTTCAGCCAACATAAACATTTTTGACACCCATTCTTAAACGGGGCTCCAAACAACTCCACATTTAGACGGAGAGTTCACTGGCTCTCCCGGGGCCGGTGGCTTGATGGCCCCGGCCCCAGCTTTGGCCACAGATGCCGCGGGCTTCTTCTCTTTTTCGGCATTGGCCCCCGCGTTGTCAGAGTCGTTGTCATCGTAGTAATACGACGAATCATCATTGGCCTTGCGCTCCGCAGAGCCAGCAGGGGCCGCCTTGGCCTTGCCTTCATTGCGCTCCGCAGAGCCAGCCGGGGCCGCCTTGGCCTTGCCTTCATTGCGCTCCGCAGAGCCAGCAGGGGCCACCTCTGGCTCCTCTCCCAGCCATCTCCATCGCCAGCACCCACCATTTGTGCCATCAAATCATGGGCCAATGGGTTCTGGTCATTTGATGATAGGAATCAAAGCATCATGGCTGTCTAAATCCCTATCAACGGTTTGATAACCATACCCCAATGTATGAATTTTAATTTCATCCAAATCCTATCTGACTATATCCCCATCATGTCCTGATATGTCCTGATTAAATCAAACAAATGCACAATCATTATGGTTAAATCATGTTAAATCATGTCAAATCCCCAATTTACATCAATTTACCACAGTTTTGATGATAGTTAAAATGATATATCCCATGAAACCCCTATCTTCATGCAATTGAAATATCAATAACTTCACCATGCCACAGGTGGCGGCCCCTTGACGTACAGAATTTTCGACCGAAAATTGGCTTCCGGGCCAGTCCTGGATTTGCCATGGCTGGCCACAGGATGGCCTGAAAGATGGATGTTCCGTTGACATTGGCATATTTTACCCTCTGGTAATTTAATGGATTAATAGTGGATTAATAGCGGGATGATAATGGGATGATATCCTCTGGTAATTTAACAGTTTGCTATTGAACATGGCCATTTATAGTGAGTTGTCCCATTAAAAATGGTGGATCTTTCCATAGTTTTTTGTATGCTTACCAGAGGGTATCATATCTTCACGAGGATTTGAGTGCCAAGAATTCGACACATGGTGGCTATTTTTAAAATGTCCGATTTTGATCAAAATGCTGGTTCCGATCAATTTGATTGATCAAAACGGTGTTGAATAGATTTTGTTGAAATATGTGGTTCGGGAGATTTTGTTGATCATTTGATGGTTGCTTTAACAACCTTAGAAATTTTTATATGTTTGGATGGATCTAGCAACAGAAGAATTGCGGCTTGACATGGATCCACCCCGCGGCAATGGAGGTTTCGGTCACCAGCCCCCCAACAAAAATCTACAATTGGCGTGTAAGGCATGGCTTATCAAATAAGTAAGAATAAAAAAATCTTAGATTAACTGAACATTGATATCCACACTTGTTTGACTGGTTGGTGGTTTCAACCATCTTGAAACATATTAGTCAATGGAAAGGATTATCCCATATATTATGGAAAATAAAACTAGTTTGAAACCACCAACCAGTTGATGTTTTCAATTTGTAACTAATTATGTTTTCAGATGTGACGGTTCTTTTGTCAGCTTGTACAATCCGATTACTAGTCATCCCCCAACCATAGTGTCATAGTTGCATGTGTATATGGTTCTATTGGTTGCATCTATTGTTTTGATGGGTCGCATATTCCATGACATCCATAAAATGGGTACAAAGTGATGACTCCAAGTTCTGTTTTTTTGCGGTTTAAAACCACCACTACCTAGTTTGATATATATATATATATCGACTATAATATCGACCCTCTGCTAACATAACTATTGCTATGGAGAATCACTAGTTTAATAGGTATATAAATCATCTATAAATGATCCATTTTCCATAGCTATGTTAATTTAGTGGAGGGTAGCTATTGGAGATTAAAACCAAGTTAAGTACCGAACTGGGGCACCACCTTGTACATTATGAGTAAGATCGTCATATAGTAAACATGAAACTTATTATAACAGTGTAATTATATTCATGTACTATATGCACATACACTGATGAATTATTATGACATACCCACTATCAACCAATATATCACAATACAATATCATATACATATAGATACTCTAATATGTACTATAAACCCACAATAACATATCACAAATTGTCTTTAAAACACAACAAATACATTACAACGTCATTATCAACCAACGCAACTCCAAAACGGCCAGCGCTGAGCCTCTCGAATGGCTTCCTTGGCCCTGTCCAAGCCGATGACATCTTCGAACCTGGCACAACGAAAGCTGGGAGCTTCACAAACAAAGATATTTTACCAGCAAATTCTGGATATTTACCAGCAATTTATGGTATGATAGGATATTTTTTGGAGTGTTGAATTACAATAGATACTTACTTACTGTTAAATAATATAATATATATCTATATATATATAAATGGGTAATTCACAAACACAAGTATTTTACAAACACAAATGAGGATATGATTAATGATTTAAAATGTAATATTGTTCATTTCACCATCAATGTATCCATGTACATTTAAAAAATATATATATACATATACATATTACATGACCGGGGCGTGATTGAACATGGAAATATTGACCAGGATTTACGGAAAAGAAAACAAGGATTTTACATGATTCTACTATCACAGTGGGAACATTCAGGACCATGGCGATTTGACCGTCGGTATATCAAGGTTTTTTTCATTGACAGTAGTGGGAGTCAAATCATGGTGTAACGGAAGAACCAACGCCAAACAGTCAAATTTCACTATATGAAAAGATCCTGAATCGAAAATTCAAAGCGACTTGATTACACAAAACAAATGTTTGATAGGTAAACAAACCACCAACCTTCCTGGATTCGCCGTTAATGAGCCATTCATGCCATCCCTCGTTCATATTAAAGACTTCACAACTGGTGCCATGTTTATGGAATTCACATCTCCATCACCTATTTGGCACCATGTTTCCTGGGGGCGTTTCAAAAAGGGACGGAAGGGATAAAAATCTGGGATTATAAGGTGATATGACCAAAAAAGAAATGGGATCTAATGGGATCTAATGGGAATAAAATGAAAATTGGGATGTACCAATACTACTTCATGGAATTGGATTATGGTATTCATGGGTATTATCTATAGAACCTCATGGGATTGTAATGGGATATAACCGTAATCATCAGTGTAATGAACTACAATGGACATGTTTAATTCCCAAGTCATTTCAAAGTCCCTGTGCCGAACTCAAAATTTCTAGTCATTTCTCGGTGGCACATTGTGGTCATAAACCATAAACCTCACTATATATACACTATATATGTTGCCACTATATTCCTATTCAATCCCATCAAATCCTATGACTTTCCCACTAATGATATTCCTGGTTGGTGGTGCAATAACCATCTTGAAAAATGATGGAGTTCGTCAATGGGAAGGATTGTCCCATACATGAGATGGAAAACAAAAGCCATGTTCCAAACCACCAACCAGATTATTATTAATCACTAATACTAATAACTAATATAACTATTAAGTGGCTGTTAGCAGTAATAATGGTTAGTAGCCATGAATTAGATGTTCTCATTAATCATTATTAACCATAATTAACCATAATTAACCATTTTTAACCCATTATAACCCATTACAATCCCCACTAATTATATTCTCATTACATACCCCTTTTGTCATTGAATCCTCATGACTTGTCATGGTCAAATTCTGCAGACCAGCATGCTCATATTCCCAGCATGCTCCTATTCACGTCCGTGAATACCCATGACCAAGTGCATATCCCGTGAAATTTGCATTAGATTCCTATTATATCACGAGTTTTCTTTCAATCCCCACAAGCAGGGTGTGATGATTATATCATCCATTCTACCCATTATGTTCATTAATTACATCATGCGAAAATCATCCGAAATTCACCATTTGCATTCAAAAATCATCCAAAATCATCCAATTTTTACAAGTTTTTCATTAAACACGGAGCCCATGGGGCTTCAACCACGGCGGACCACTTTGCGCGCCTGGCTTTACGTCCCAGCTGCGTCACCTCCACGCGCGTGGCTCTGAGCTCGGCCTTTCATCAGATTTCACCAGAGGCTGGTTTCACCAAGAGAACTGGTGGTATACCTACAACAACTATGGTTAATATATGGTTAATATCATCTATGGTTAACAATGGTTAACAATATGGTTAATATATGGTTAACAACTATGGTTAACAACTATGGTTAACAACTATGGTTAATGGATGGTTAATATCATCTATATATATATACCTATCTGGTTGGTGGTGTATGTATCCCTCTGAAAAATGATGGAGTTCGACAGTTGGGATTATGACCTTCCCAACTGAATGGAAATTATAACAAAATGTTCCAAACCACCAACCAGAGAAATGTGGATTTAACATGATTTCACCAGCCATGAAGATTTAAGTATCAGAGGTCAAAGCTCATGCGACTTCATGGAGATGTTTGATACGCAGTTTTTTCCTGAAAATCCGTGGAGGAAAATCATAAATTATACCCTCTGGTAAGCAGCCACATAACTATGGAAAGTCACCAATTTTCATGGGTAAATCAACAAATTAAATGGCAATTTTCAAGTTCGCAAACTGTCAGTTTACCAGAGGGTAATATCCCATTATCATCCCATGATCATCCCACTAATAATCCACTATTAATCCATTAAATTACCAGAGGGTAAAATATGCCAATGTCAACAGCAGCATGAGTTTCATCAAAGCACGGATTCAACCGAAAAGTCACATGGGGATTGAAACGCACGAGCAATCAGAACGAAATACCGATGGGGATTTAAGCAACAAAAATACGGCAGCAGAACACGCTTGATGGTGGCGATTTTCCGGCAACCATGGAGACTTCACAACATCATGATTCGACAAACACAAAGACTATTTCTTAGCAATCAACATGAAGATAGACAAAACTTGGGTTATGGATTTAACCACGAAAACTCGGGATTTTTCATCTATGTTTTTAATCAAAACCGTGAGGACATAATCAGAATCGAGGATCTGACCTAACAAGTTCAAAATCAATATGAAGTTGCACAAAATATATTCCCAACTGATTGGTGGTATACATACCCCTCTGAAAAATTATGGAGTTCGACAGTTGGGATTATGAAATTCCCAACTGAATGGAAATTCTAACAAAATGTCCCAGACCACCAACCAGCCAAATGACTGGAAACTAGTGTTGCTATAGGATATCCATTGTGTGTGAGCAAGAAACACCGTGGAATTCAAGGGACGTCACACGCACTTCAAGTAGGACGTAGCAATGAATGTTTCAGGAGCCACAAAAAAAACATCAAGGTGAAAGACATGGAACAATGATGGATTCACTGAGTCAACCAGCAACATCAAAACATGACAACTCAGGATCCCCACGAGATGAGAAAACGATAGAAAACTCATAAATCCGCATCCCAAACCTTGTAACCAACTAGCAATCGGGAACCACTTCCCATATGAAATCACCAAGAAATCTATGGGAAATCTGGTTCCGGTGAGATCACCCCGGCGCCGCCAGTGGTCAATTGAGGTTATCCCACCAGGCGTTGCGCCGCCTTCAGTTTGGACAAGTCTTCCTTCTCTTCTTCCGCAGATTGGCCTCGGAGATGCAACGTTTAAAACGGCAATGGGACATTCCGTATTAAAATAGGCATTAAAATTGTGACATCACCTGAAAAAAATCGGATTTCTTTGAACTAACCACGTTGATTAGCAGTGCAGAAGGTATCCAGAAGGTATCCAATCTTGTCCGATGATCTGGCTGAAATTGGTAGCATTGAACTTCAGATTCTCAAGATGCGGTTGAGCGTACAACCTCGTTGTTGTTGACATGGCTATGGAAAACCTACTTTCATGTAATCAAAGCGACCATGCTGGTCATAGCCCAGCCATTTGATCAGGCAATACGGCTATGTAATAAACCAAACACACTTTTTACTCAGCATCACCATGAGTAATTGTTCTACAAGCGGACCAATCCAGTTATATAACCTCAAGAAAAAAACACACGGCTGAAATTTGCCTAATGGACCCAAAGGGTAGTTAAACATGTTAAACATGTTAAACATGTTCCCGGATTATCCTCAAACGTTGGATTTGACCATTTGGAAAAGAAAACAATAGACAATTCTCTATATACCATCTGGTTATGACTAACATAGCCATGGAAAATCCCAATTTTTTTAATAGGTAAACCATCTATTTCTATGGGCCATTTTCCATGGCTAGGTTAAATAACCAGAGGGTACATAGTCTTTATCTATTGAATCATAATCATTAAAACAACTAGAATATGGCAATTTATGTGTTCTATTATATATTCCACTAGCTTCAGCAAATGGGAAAAAACACGTGTGGATATGTTTCCCTTATGTCGTTCTGGGACTTCCCATTGCCAACCATTGATGACCAGATGGCATCCCTAATACTAGTGTTGGTTATGTCTTCAATGAAATCCTTATTGAATTTTTCCATGACATTCTAGATTCGACAGTCAATACCAATCAAAATCCCTATCAAAATCCCTATCAAATGCCCAAACAAATCCCAGGAAATCTCTGAGACTGGATGGTAATAGCGAAATAGTTGATTTTCCCATTAAACATTGCCATTTTCAGTAGCAAACTGTTAAATTACCAGAGGGTATCCCATTGATTCACCATGGTTTCACCATGCTGAACCCCCATGCCCGAGCTTGGCACCGGCGTTGTCCGACGCGTTGGTCACACCCACTTTCCTCCAGGTCCCGGAGGTCCCCAAAAGCCAGAAAAAATGGTCATGCGCGTGTTATGAGTATATAATGGTTATATATATATACTATATAATGGTCATACTATATATAATATACATAATATATAATATAAAATGGTCATACTATATAATGGTCATAATATATGGGCAACGCGTGCTTTCTCAAGCATCAATCCCCATGGCTGGTTGATGTTTTGCTTCACTAAGATTGAATAAACAAACACCTGTTCATTTGTGAAAGCATGAACGGAGATACAGTAGGGATACATCTCGTTATAACCCCACCCACATATATACTACCATTATCTACCATTATTTCAAAAAAAACTCTCCATTAACCAACATGCCGAAAGATTGACTATGGACTGATCATGACGTTTCATCACATTTATTATTTCACAACATAGGCATTGCCTTTCTAACAGTTATGTGGGTAAATTATACCCTCCGGTAAACTAACATAACTATTGAAAATTGCACATTTATAGTTGATTTACCTATTGAAGTGGTTATTTTCCATAGTTCTTTGTATGTTTACCAGAGGGTAATCATTCACTAAGCTGAAAAGTTTGGCTATATTGGGCACATTTCCCTTACATTCGCCATCATTCCAGTGACATCGCAGTGAGCTCATTATAATTTACCCAAGCCACTGTAGTATACATATGGACCCATGGTTTTTGGGGTAACCCCATTTGTGAAAACCTCCATATCCATATATATATATATGTATAATAAAACCCACACATTAATTATAATGCACATTCTGATGTATTATACGAGACCAATACCATATTCTGATATAATATATATAGTATATATATATATAATCTATATATATATAATATATATAAATAACCACCTAGGTCTTCAACATATCAACAATTTTGGGTTGACCCCTAGCGTTCTACGTCTTTTAACCATGAATCCAACTGGCAGGCGCCGACCTGGCAGCTTTGGCCCGGACTTCTCGAAGATGCGCCTCCAACCTGCATCCCGGGCATCCGACCGGTCCCATCCTCCGGTCCCAAATGCTCCATGTATTGGAAGAAATCCTGCACCAGTTGAAAACGGTGGTAAACATGCCATTATTTTGTTGGGGTTTCAACCATACTTTTGGTGGTGCAGGATTTCGCAACCATCCACAGTATATCTCTATATATACACCCTTGCAAAATAACATACACCTCGAAAGACCAAAAAAAAACGTTTCTTAACATGGCACCTGCGGTCAAGGGTTTTATCTTAACTAAATTGTATAAATATACGGATTCAACGTATATGACATTTACCCAAGTTTGTCCCAAAAATGCCGGTTGAATATCTATACTACCTACATTTGAACCGTATGTTTGAAGTTACTATTCCATACATGGAGCCGTTGGGTGTCAACAACCTCGCCTCCTGACAGGCTCCCGCAGCACAAGAGTTCTGCCCAGTAAATGCACATGTGCGAACCAGAGATTCTCATCATTTGACTCATCATCCAAAATTATGGTTTATGGTAGATATATCTAGACTTACTATGGTTTAAAAACCAATTTATAATATGGGTTTAAAAACCAAACAAACATAACTGGCGGGGCACCACCTTGTGAACACCTGAGCGGCGTCGTAAACCGGGTAGCGATCTGGTTCTAATCCTTAAAAGCTTTCGCGACGGCTTTCGCGGTTCTTTGCTTTCGCGGTTCTTTCACGCGAACAGTTTTGGCTTTCGCGGCGGCATTTGTTTCGCAATATCTTTCACGGCGGCTTTCGCGGAAAATATTCGTAAATCATGTTACACAAGACTATATTATGGCCATCTGAATATTGGTACAAGAATATGAAGATCTACTCTAATCATCTGCTTTCGCCGCCGCTTTCGCTGCTTGACCTTGGCACACTCCTTTCGCGGAGCTTTGCTTTCGCTGCTTGACCTTGGCACACTCCTTTCGCGGAGCTTTGGCGTGGCTTTCGCGCGTGGAGGTTTTGCTTTTGCGGGAGGTTCCCCACATGAACCCGAATACTAAATCCCTTTATGGAGGTTTTTGGTGCCGCTTACCTGCAATACGGGCCTAGGCGACAACCTCGTCAGGATCTCTGCCTTCTGTAGCTACAAATTGGTCTAAAACGCGGCTGCAGTATTGATATGCTGTTTTTTCGAAGCTGGTTAGGTTAAAATATCCTGGTTTGTAGCAAGGAAATAGAGTACTACACAAACCTTCACTAAGGTTTCCCCGATAAATTGAAAGTATTTTTCAATATTTTGCCTTGTGGTGTTGTCCGACTTCTCTCTTTGCTTCTTGCAGCAGGAAGGATACCCGCCGCATCAAGCATTTTGGCACATAGTTGCAGGACAAACTAAATTTAGGATAGAATACCAAGTCAACTTGCAATCTCTTGGGCGCCTCCAAAAAAACATCATCTTCATCGAACCACATTTTCCCCTGAAAATGATTCCAAACCCCCAAAGCCTTAGCTTGGAAGATGATCTAATCTTTCAAATGACAAATAACGAGATAATTGAAATTCCTATGTTTGAACATGTAAAAACTGAAGTATAGATTAACATTGTCTTTTCAAACATTATATAATTATATGTATATACGTGTCTGGATATCCCTATTATGGATTGAACAAATCAAGTCGCAACAGTCGATCAATACTTGTTGCTACCCTTCAGCGGTCCGTTGGAGCAGCGCCTCGCAGACAATGCTTGCTGCCGTTCCAGAAGCTCTTCTGGCACGGCGGTGTTGAGATGTCCGTGCCCCAAAATGAGCCATAAAAAAGGGGGAATAGTAACTCATTTGGGGCATTGGTAACCCACCATTAACGGATACGGGATATCTCTTGTTGGTAGTTGATGAATTAAGACTTCTGCAACGGTTCCAACAATGCCATTCAGCCTGGTCGCGTGCCAAAGGATATCGAATCAGAGACCTCCCATTGATGAGTATCATCCTGGCTTTGGGGTGAGAATTGTTCGACGCCAAATCACAGATTTTTCGCTTCGTCTTTTTGCGATTAGGCACTATTTATTTGTGTTTAACACTTCTAGAATTTAGCTATGTGGATACAACAAAGGGTGCAACAAGGTCAAATCCTCAAGCATACCAATTCTGCAGGGCAAACTATTGCAGCTACTTGCTGCAGTTCCACTTAAGCCGTCGTTGGCCATAGTTGCAGGGTTTGTGTCCCAATTTATGGGGGTTACAACCATGCTGAAAAACAATCAATAAACCCAATTGCACCCCCGACTACAAGGTGGTGCCCCCCCAGTTATAAATAGGTTATAACCCCATTAACTATAGATATACCACCTATAAACTATAGTTATTGGGCTTATAAACCATCTCAGCTAACGAACTGGGGCACCACCCTGTATATTCTATCAGCACAGCTCACTAGCCTTCTTGGCGTAACAAGCCAGCAGGACTAACATTGGGCTGCGCTGCTCCGCCTGCATGGAGATGCATAGAAAACACATTGGGGAGTGCTTATATTGTGATTGTGTATCCCACAGTAATTTAGATGGGTGAAGTACTTTAAAAAAGTACAATGTTTTACCACTTATACATTCTATGCAGGGCTGAAAACCAGTTACAAATCATTTAGCGAACTTCAAGGATGATTCCAGTACTGCCAGCCATTGACCAGACATGATTTCTTTCAAGCAGCCTGATGCTGACCTTCTGCAGTTAAATCCACTGATGAGAGGCTTGAGATTTTCCAGCAATGAGTTATTAAGTTGGCGATTCAAAAAACAATCCAATCATTATTTATAAATGCTGTATAGGGTTTATATAGGCCTATAGTATAGTTTTTTTAATGTTTATATGATATATGCTATGGGCCTATAGTATAGGGTTTATTTATGTTTATATGATGTACGCTATGGGCCTATAGTAAAGGTTTTTTTTTATGTTTTCATGATTCATGCTATGGGCCTATGGAGTAGGGTTTATTTATGTTTATATGATATATGCTATGGGCCTATAGTACAGGGTTTATTGATGTTTATATGATAAATGCTGTGGGCCTATAGTACAGGGTTTATTGATGTTTATATGATACATGCTATGGGCCTATAGTATAGGGTTTATTTATGTTTATATGATATATGCTATGGGCCTATAGTACAGGGTTTATTGATGTTTATATGATATATGCTATGGGCCTATAGTAGAGGGTTTATTTATGTTTATATGATATATGCTATGGGCCTATAGTAAAGGGTTTATTTATGTTTATATGATATATGCTATGGGCCTATAGCATAGGGATAATTTATGTTTATATGATATATGCTATCTATACCAATAATAGAAGTTGGTGCCCCCCAGTTCGAAGTTGGTTTCTAAACCATAGTAAATATAGATATATCTACCATACACCATAGTTATTGGAGTTGTAAACCAACTTAGCCAACTATGGGGCACCACCCTGTAATTTTTTTCTTTGGTAGATATGCAGCTGAATGGGATAGAAACCAACCCATGGCCAAATTTCTAGACCTAAACTCATGGCGAGCCCCTTGGAAAACTACACTCCGTCAAATGGAAGAGTGACAACCAACAAAACCCGTAAATGTATGTGTATATATATATATGTACACGTGTATATGAGAGATCTATATATATATATCTATATATATCTATATATATATATACCTAGGCCTCCCGGCTGGGTAAAATTTCTTCCGCCAACCAGGCTAAAGAAATTATTGTCGCTTCAGTAACTTCTACCGTCTCAGCCAAAAACTTCCGTTTCAACTGTTTGGCGGGATTCTTGCCGTGTCAGCTGCCATTCTTGCATTTTCTCACTTTTGTGATATTCACACACTTTCGGCAACATGGGCAGATATGTAGCATGTCAAAATCCAAATATGCATTGAAAACAACCAAAAGAAATATGCCGTTTGGTTGGGAATCTATGCGGTTTCAGTTTGCCATTCTTTTGGTATGAGGTTTTCAAGGTGGACACGTGAGTTGTGCGTTCTTCATGCGAGGAAAGTCTCCGCCACACCTGTGGAATTGAGAGAATCCCATTCCACTCAAAACATCACAATTTGCTGGAGCCATTCAAAATCCAAAGTTTCCGTCTCATCAAAAATACTACATTTGAGGGTTGGCCCCTCCAAAAGATATAATTTTAACCAGACACACAAATAATTTTTGCTGCCCCGGTTGTTCTAGGTATATACACATGTGTATATGATATAAATATATATATATACACACTGGATTTAATATACATACATACCCCCATTATATAGCCATATCAATGGGATTTAACCATATTTTCTTTTGTTTGTCTTTCATAGGAATGCTTAGTTTATGGCCAAATGATGCCCTACCCCCCAGCCTCGTTTCACGGAAGGTGCTACAGCCGGAGCGCCCGGAAGCTGCATTTGGACTGCAGCGGCAGCCGGGTTCGAATCCAAAGTTCATTTTAATTTACATCAGTTCATGCTGGATATTATTGGAGATATGTCCCAAAAGAAGTATCTGGTAGTGGGATTGCTGCATTTTGAAAACAATATTTCACATCGTAATGTCCACTGCTAGCGCCACATCACTGGCCATACCATGCATACAACTCAATTAAACTATTAGCTGGAAAACATATTCCCCCTTGTGGGTTTTCTGTCGGAAAAATAATACCCCAAGATCCAGTGATTAGTACTCATGTTCCCTATGAAAATTGCTATTTATAGATCATTTCCCATGAAAACCATCATGCTATTTCCATCTATTTCCACATCTATTTTAATCTACTGAAGGGTACATTGCCCCAAAAACAGTTGGACATGACTTCGGTCACATCAATTTGCACATTGAGAAACACGCTGAAACCCCACAAGAGTATGGCATATGTTTTCAGTTTTTCAACAGGTCAATGAATGACTCCAGTAACAACTAACAACCAATAATTATCTTTAGTAACAACCAACAAACAATAATTGTAAATTGTTCGAAGGACCTGGCATCATATGCCACCAGCTTCTCTATTGCTGACCTCATTTATCACTTCCAAATATGTTCATGAAACTTGTAACACAGCATTCAGGGATATAATTCACAAAAAAACGCACCAAAAACGATCCGGAGGTAGGCTGGAGGAACATAGGAATGCTCACTGTTCGCAATTTGGGGTGTAGATCCGTCAGGTTTAGACCTGATACCTTTCAAATCTCAAAAAAAATCTCAGAAGTTCATATCTGATTGTGGTATCACCAAGAGGCAGTAATGAAACAAAAGAAACTGCGGGCATGAACGGTTTTTCCTATCAAGGCAATGATGATTTTGCGGGATAGGCCGTTAATTGAAACTATGGCAGCCAATGTAATTTCAAGTGATCCCTGTCAGTTGAAATTGACGATTGAGGTGTCTGAACGTAGCAGCAGGGATGACCTCGGCGCAATTGACACTGACCTTTAAGCCCATGCAACAATAGACTCCGGCAACAGCAATGCCAAGTAATGACAACTTTCGCACCTGCATATGCAAGCACATCACCCCTTCAGACAATTGTTGACCCATTTTGAAACATTTTGACACATTTGGAAGCATTTTGAGCAATTTTGAACAGTTTTGAGCCATTTTAAGAAATTTTGAACAGTTTTGAGCATTTTTTTTTGCCAGCTTGGGTGAATTCGAGGAATTTTGAGCATTCTTGTTGGGCAAGTTTGGGTCATGTCGAGCAATTTTGAACAGTTTTTGGAAACACGATATGGCATTGTTGACTTTGGACAGTGTTCAAAATGTCTCAATTGAGGCTGCTTTGAGACATCTTACTTTGGCTGAAAAAGGTGCCTGATGTAAACCCCACGGATCTAGACCCTAAAATGAGATCAGTGAAATGTCTTTCTTTCCAATTCATATCAGAAGGATGTAGGTGAACAAGAAGTGGGTTGTGCGCGTCAGTGTCAGTTGGGGCAATCACAAACATGTTGTGGTCACAAGATAAACATGTTTCATTGACTGAAAACGAAAAGTTTCCAACAAAGTCCATGTGGCTTTGACGGCTTTGATCATCAAAATCGCTGATGTCTTCCTCAAATTCCAACCTTGCATGTGCCCATTCACAACTGGACAGCATGCAACAGTCGCCCGCATTCTCAATTTTCCTGGCAAGTTCATGAGTGTAAGTGTTGGTGTTGATTCCTCTGATTTTTTTGCCAAGAATAGGTCTTTGTACGAACAAGAGGTAGTTAACTCTTACGGCTGGTGCCTTTCCGTAGTTCTTGAGCCTTGCCTGGGTAGCTGTGTGGATCATGCGGTTGATCCAAAACTGAAGCAAACTGACCTCATAAGTTGGGCATCCTCCGGCTTTCGGGGTTGCAAGGTAGCATGCTTTGTTCCCGCTGCCTGCGATCACGTCAACTTGAAAACGGATTCACTCAAAAAACATGCATGCAAGTGCTTCTCCGCACATTCCTGGCGACTTGGAAATACGGTCTTGTCCGACGTGATAAACACACACGACACATGGAAATTCATGCTCGAGTAAGGGGCTCCTCTTCTTCGGTGTTCCTGTTTTTGCCAGTGCTCCATAAAATCTCAAATATGGCCCATGATACGTATCTAGCAGGCGCGTCATCTTCACCAGTGTTGTAACCAGCGATTTGTCGAACATATCCATCAGGTCACGATAATCGTCATCTTTTTCCTACACGAGCAGCGACCATGAGGTCACGCTAATCCCAAATGTTACGTATACAGCAAAGTAACGTATCACATCTCACCAAATGTTTACTCATTTTATGTTCAGATCCAAAGATATTCGCATAAAAATCACCATGAAATCCCAATCGCAATTTTTACCAATGCGGGTAAAACAATTTCAAAAAATCACCCAAATCACCATTTTCAAAGATGGTATGGTTACCATTCCCAGTCATGGGTGGTTTATGGCATTGCTTCTACCCACATTCGTCATCATTAATAACCATTAATAAGACATTAATAGCCCATAAACCATGAATAGTCATTAATCATTAATCACCATTCATGTCAAAATCACATTTTTTACTAGTAAAATTACGATATTACTAGTAAAACCGCCATTTTTACTAGTAAAACCACCATTTTTTCTAGTAAAATTACCATGAAACCACCATTTTTATTAGAAACATCAACCTTTTTTGAGGGCCAAAAAAGCAGTGACACATCGCCGTGCCGTTGAGCCTTTGGGTCGTGGCATCTCCAACGTCATCCGTACGTTGCCCTTGGCGCTGCTGTCTGGCAAGGTGCACCTTGGAGCAGGTTGGTGGAAAGGCATGTCTATGTTGATTGGAAAACGCAAGTAAATATGATGAATTGACCAGAAAGCAACAAGCTATAAAGACTGATCTAATCCAACGGCCTGGTACAGCTCGTTACGGCGATCACTGTTGTGATGTTGACCCGAATGGAACAACGTTACGGCAATAGGGCGGGGGTGTCTTTTTGTGGTTCTACTACGCCCCAGTAAAATGGAGGTGCATACCCCAGGAAAAGGAATGTGTCGCAGGCATATAAAACAAGCAACCTTAGAAAATGATCATATGACGCCATAGCATCGATCAGTTGCTGTGTCGCTCCGCCGGCCGTCGCGGCGTCTGCCCATTGCGGCCATCGCTGCCGCGCGTGCCTTGGCCAATGCGAAGTCAGTGTAGCCTGCGATTGCCAGTGCGATAGGATGAAGGCCATCTATGGCTGCAACTCGGCTTGCCCATGGCCCATACCCTCCGGTAAACTAACAGTTTGCTATTGAAAATGGCCATTGAAATAGTGTATTTTCCCATTAATAGCATGGTGGATCTTTCCAGTTCGTTATGTAAACGTTTACCAGAGGGTATCGTGAAATTCACCAACCAGAAATAGATTTGGTTTTATGGATTTTATGAAATCTAATGGTGAATCTAATGGGATTTTCAAATGGTGATTCTTATGGGATTTCAAATGGTGATTTAGTGGTGATTTAATGAAATCAATCTACCCCCAATGTTAGCATATATACCATACATGGATCCTATGGGAATGGGATTTCAAATGGTGATTTACCCAACTTACAGATGGTTATTTTTCCAGTTCGTCAAAAGCGATCGGACTTTCCCCAAAAGGCGAATTCAAAAAAAGCTATCGAATCTTGGGACCACTTTGAAGTTCACCATAAAATCACCATTAAATAAAATCACTATTAGATTTGATAAAATCACCATTAAATCACCATGGAATCCCATAAAGTCACCATTCAATCCACCTGATCTCAGCCGAAGGTCAGAAAGAACTTGTGATTCTGCAGCCCCACGCAGTTGTCCATCCAGGGGCAATGATGATCCATTCCTGGGACAAGATCCAGGGTATCACGCCATTGCCGATGGGATTTTAATGGCTCAGTTGGTTTATAACTCCAGTAGCTATGATTTATGGTACGCCAATAACTATAATATTCATGGGGTTTATAAATCAATTTATGAGTAGGGGGCCCCACATTGTATGGATGTGTTGCAGTATTGGGATTTGCATGGACTTTATGTGATAGAATTATATATAATTATATATATATATATGTCATTTTTATGGATTTTATAATGCTGTCCGTTTACTTTACTTTCCATTTTTAGTGGACTTTATGTATCTTTATGTGGTTTAGATGGGCTCAATGGATTGTATTGGGGGCTTTAATGGGGATATGATGGCTTGTTCTAATCCATTGAAGGTAAACAATAACCAGTTCTAAGGGGAATTCGTCAAGAAATACCTCTCTATCTACTCAGTTTCCCCCCAAATGCATCTGCTGGTTGGTGGTTTTAACCATCTCGAAAAAAATAGTCAATGGGAAGGATTATCCCATATATTATGGAAACCACCAACCAAATCTGGCATATTGGGATCAACCCTGTTTTTCAATGCGGTTTACCATCAATTATCAAAGTTTCATGTGAACCCATTCTGGGCAAACTACAGTACATTCATTGCAGTACTTTGAATTGTGTTTTACTCACCATCAATGGTATTGGCAAGGACCACCAAGGGAAGAATTGGTGTTTTTTTTCTGGAACAAATGCATCAAAGCGGCATTTTTTGCCCTTACGACACGACCCCTTCAACTCATTCCTACTTTTGAATGCATCCCAACAATCCTACATCTTCCCGTAAACTCGTCCCATGTAGTTATCAGTTGGGAAACTAGACATTAGATGATGGGTGTTACATTTTTGCTGCCTCCAAGTGGGATGGACATCCAAGAGCTGTTGATTGCACCAGTGGATGATGGGTTGTGGATCATCACAACCTAGCACGGCCATGTTTGCTAAGAACATGGGCTATGTTTTTTCGAGGAATATGGACGCGAAGCGGCGTCTGTTTTTGACGCTACGTGGACCTATCCCATTCCACCATACGACAGTTGGTTGGTACATATTCCTATCATGAGTTGTCTTAAATAAACCACTTATATAGCTTTAAAAAAACGCTTCCTAACTTGACATTGACCTATCAACAGAAGTATTTTATATAAATGGCTCATGTATACACATAACATATACATGTGCCACCTAGTTACGGGATGATTCACCTGATGTGTCACCCTGTAAGATGGGGACGTCAGTAAGTATGCTGTCATGGATTGCCGAAAATTCGGAAAGATAGAACATGGCGATAGCCCATAGGATCCATGGTGCTGGTATATATGCTAACATTGGGGGTATTTTGATGGTAAATGTTACCATGTATAGCATACATGGATCCTATGGGAGAACTACAAATTTGTGGTTTCAACCCATCCCTAATTTTTCAAGTGCTAGTCATCGTGAATATTGTGAATCATCGGCACAAATCTGCCGAACCAAAATCACAAAAAACAGGTTGAAACCACCCGCCAGATTAACAACTGGGACTGGTTCTTGGAAAAGTCGATCCCTTAGCAAACCATGATAAACCATGTATAACCAGATGTTTTTACTCAGTTCTGACTGGTTTGATCAGTTCTGACTGGTTTAAAAAAAGAGGCAAATTTTATAAGGGATCCACCCTTAGCGCCGAGGCGCTCAGGATGCATCTGTCGCAACTTCTGCAGTGATGGCCTTGCAGGATGGGGCCCCTGTTGGTTGTTGCGTTCAGATACGCCTTAGAAAAGTGGCAGAATTCTATGGTTTATGGCAGATATAACGATCTATATCTGGTTGGTGGTATACCTACCCCTCTGAAAAATAGCAAAGTCTACCCCTCTATGGTTTATGGTTTATGGTATACCTACCCCTCTATTTCTGGGTATTTATGGATATTTCTGGGCTTTACACATCAACAAACATATCTGAGGGGGCACCATCCTGTGTGGATTGTGAAAGCTTCCCCAGTACTGTATTATGATATATCTATAGGCAAATTGCAATAATTCACCAAGCTAAAATAGGGCGAGAGATATTTCTAATTCTACAATGATTCCATAGTGCCGACGTTCCAAAATGCCGCTTCCGCGTGCCATAGTATTCGTCCGTGGCAGGGGCCAGCGCCATTGGGCCCTCCCCAATGAATCAATGGTGGTTCAATCGACCTAAAATAACTCTTCCGAAAAGGAACACCATTGCAACTATACGGATCGCCGTTCGACCCTTTTCTCACCCCAAGATCAATAGGAACACCATTGCAACTATACGGATCGCCGTTCGACCCTTTTCTCACCCCAAGATCAATTGAAATACCCTCATGGTAAACGTTTACATAACTATGGAAAATCACCATTTTGAATTGGAAAACTCATGATTTCTATGGCCATTTTCAATAGCTATTTTGACATAACCAGAAGGTATGGGGGCAGCAATTGAGGTTGGAATGGTAACCGTGATATCACCAGGGAAGAAACGGTAGAATATGCGGTATGAATTGTGATCAGCACGAACAGATTGTCAAAACAACTGGGATCATCATCACATCCGGAAAAGGAATTATAAAACACAACACTTGAAATCACCAAGCATTTCTCTGTAGATATGGTAAATTATGTATATGATTATGTAGATATCATCACAAATCTTACAATATCACCATTCATTGCTGGCTATAGCACCATTTATATAGGCATAAATACATTTCCCAATTGATTGATTGATAGTCCCTATCCACATCTTCCTTTCATAAACGAACTGCCCCTATCAACACCCTGCTTTTGTATTGGATCCATTCACCTTGGAAGCCGATTCAAGCGAATTTACTGTTCTATACAAGGATGGGATACAAAACACAACCATGAAAACCCCTGTAACGTACCGTAGATATGATCGGAAAATCCACGCGTTTCCCAGGCAAGGAACATGATCTACATGTCTAAAATGCTTTTCAACATGGAAAAAAACACAATGGAAATGAACCCCCTACTTGGATGTGCATCCCAGTTACCAAGTGGTGTGTAACACCCAAAATACCATTATACAAATCAATCTAAAATCATCTGTTTATTCTGGTTGGTGGTATACCTACCCTTCTGAAAAATATGAGTTCGTCAATGGGAAGGATGACATCCCATATATGAAATAGAAAATAAAATTCATGTTTGCAACCACCAACCAGAATTACCATTAATCATTATTAACCGTTATTAACCCATTAAAATCCCCATTAATCACCATACAATCACCATTACATAAATCACCATTAAATCACCATTTATAACCATTATAGTCACGATACATCGATGCCTTTTTTATGGCATGCCGAGGATCTTCGCGCAGGTCTTGGTCCACAGTGACGACAGGGCAACACCAACCAGTCCCCATGCAGCGAGCGCGGAGCTGCAACGCTCAGTTGGTTCCTGCCGAAAATGGTGGCTAAAACATCAGCAAAAATAGAGCTTTGAAAAAGGGTGGGTTAACCATGGTTAACCAAGAAACATATGGAACTTTGATGGCTCAAAATCATCTGTAAGTGTACTCTAGAACTGAGATTCTGGGGATAGAATTGCGATCAAGAGGATCGCTGGAATATCATTGGAAGATAGGAGAATTGCTGGGATGTAACCTTAATCAACGATAAAACCGACCAGAAATGTGGTTCATGTTACCCTGGGAGTGTTTTCCCATGTCTATGTCAATCTACTGAAGGATAACTTGAATTGGAGGTACCTCACAAATGTAGGTTGTATGTAACACAATACTCTCGAAGCATGGCCTTATATGGCTGGTTGGTGGTTTCAACCCCTCTGAAAAATATTAGTCAATGGGAAGGATTATCCCATATATTATGGAAAATAAAAAATATTTGAAACCACCAACCAGATGGCAAAGTACCTCTGGTTTAGGTTCCTAGATGGCCCGTTGGTCCATGACTGGCAAGGTGTTTGGGGTTACCCCTCTGGTAATCTCACTTCTGAAGGGGTAAACTCTCACAGCCCATCTTCCGTCGCAAACGGTTAGATTGGCACACATGCTATATGATTTTATAGCCGCTTTAATGGGATATTTCTCATATTTAAAATATGTTCAATGCGGAAATATCCCTATCATATCCCCATTCGATGATTTTCAACCGTAACTGCCATAACCCACTTACTCTTGTTGGAAAAAACCCGCCATTTTCGGCAGGTCATTCCTACCCTGATCCCGCCCTCGGAAACAACACATCCGGTCCACCAGTCCAAAGGCACACGGCCGGGATCAGACAGGCAACCTGCCGGTGGGGATGACTCAAAGCGATATCTTTTCGGCGCCCAAACGAGATACAAAAGAAAGATCCAACTAAAAGAACATGGGGGTTTCCATAAATGGAGGTACCCAAAAAATGGATTTTTTTCCGCCTTTGACTTTAATGCCGTGTGACAGCGGTAGAGACAACCAGCTACGCGTGAAGTCCCCACCAATGATTGTGATCATTAATTAAACAAAAAACGCAAACAAAACCAACAAAAAACAACAAATTCAGGGGTGACGACGAGACACACCATGGGACAGTCGAATGCACGGATGAAAAATGACAGATGCCGGATCGAATGCAAATGAATGCATCCTCCCAGGGTGGATACACAGGTGCCGATCTGTGTGTCCACTAAGGACGGAATGGCATACACATTTTCCTCTTTTTCCCCATTGGGGTGACAAAAATAGAATGTAGTTTTTGATACGGCAGGGCACCGGTGGTTAAAGATGCAGTCAGTTTAACAGCAGGGACCCAAAAACTATTTCCAAGATCCTTCAGGGCGCCTGATTGCGAGACCCATTCACCAGGGAAGATAGGACACTGGTGGTGACGGGTCCAGTTAACAATACGGTTCCAAGTAAAACTTTGCTGTGAAAGTTTAAACTCAGTTTCAGCATATTCCAAGTTCTGATCAACAAGATAATATTGGCATTTGGCTGATTTTTTTCCCTTAGGTTTGACTGGAAGGGGTACTATGGTTTTTGTATATAATGCAAAGTCTATATATAGTTCCAACATGGCTGTTGGCCTGGATTCCACATTGGACCATTGCAACAACTGTGCCCAGCTGCTCAACCTATTCCAAAAAAATTCACCAAAAGGCCAATTTTCAGGGCAGGCCTGGGGCACATGATGGACAAAGAACGGACCAACGGGGATACGTGTTGTAAAATCGATGACGGCATCAGGTTGAATCTTAATCGGGGAATCCGTGACCTTGGATGCCATGTGCTTAACAAAATTACAATATTCAATCAGGAATTCTTGTTTTTCTGCCGATATGGCATAATGGCTAGAAGCTTTTGCAAACGTGGGATTCCAATCAAGGAGGGCTTGCTTCGCATAAGCGTCTACAGTATTATTTGCCATTGCTTGCCATTTCAAAAAAGGGTCGTCAATACTCTCAACATCAGTATGGGCTTTAGTCTTAGTGGCATCAATTATACATGGGGGACGGCTACGAATTTGAACCCAAACCCTTTCCCACAAATCATGATGATCCTGAATCTTGGGTGTGATATTACAGGAATGACAATCACAAAGATACTTTAACATCGCTAGGGCAGCTTCACAATCAATGTAAAGGTGAACCCGATAGCAACTCAACAAAGCGCCCCATATTGCAAAGACTTCACCGCGATATGCACTATGATCAACACCTGGAACCGGGGAAGCAAAGATCTTTGTGTGATCAATTTGAAAAGGCTGGCACTTCACTGCAGCACCGGCTGAGATGCAACAAATTTTCAAATCTTGATGGAACGCCGAGCCATCAACAAACACATGCGCAATCTCCAAATCGACCAGGGGAATCACATTCTCCGGCCATTCTAACTGATTTTCCCACAACACTTTTGAAAAACTCAAATCCAAGGGAACCAAGCCAAGAAGTTTCGTTGCAGCTGATTGTTTTGCTAACCATTTGAAAAGAGGTTTGGCATTGAATCTTTGGATTTCATACTTTTTACAATTAAAAATGCGATGTTCACGATCGTCAATTACACCACAAAGAGAACATTCGGGGTGAACATTGGGATTGAACTTTGCATACATGTTGCCGGTGCAAGCAGCCCCTGTAAAGTGCGTCACCAACAGTTGTTTTTGGTCGGATGGAAACTTATTCAAGACTTTCATCATCAAGTATTCATCAACAGAACTTATATCAAAATCTTTCCGTGATTGGGCTTTGTGGGCAGCATGTGTAGTCCATAAGACGCGCAGCCAATACTTCAAGAATGTCACTGAACACGCAACCCAATTAAACTGGAATCCAAGAGTATGCTGGAGGAATCCATCTGGCAAAGGTGCCCAACCAATAGCTCTGAAGGTCTTACCCAGACTAACTGCCGGGCCTGGTCCTGCTTGTGAATTAACAATTCGATCAAGAAACCCAGCTTTTAAGGAAGGGAAATTTCGGAAGAACCTTCTCCAAAACAAGCAGGCACGAATTACCCCCTTTAACTGTGGGTCAACTGGGCATGGGTTGAACATGGTTCCAATCCACGGGCTCGCACTTGCCTGTTTCCTATGCATTGCGGCCAATGTTGCTGTACGGATTGTTTTCCATTCTGCACATGGGATATGCTGTAATTCAGACCCATAGGCCATAGTTCCAAATCCGCAAGAATGGATCATTTTTCTTTTAAATTGCACAGGTATTTTAATTTTCTGGATCCTTTTAAGAACACGTGTGGCTTTTTCAATACGCTTTTTCCCAGCAGTAATTAATTTTCTTCTGTTATAATTAATGTCGCAGCCAAGGTCTACTGCATGGGTCTTATATGGGAAGGTGTGGCCATCTACTTGAATGTTGTTAAGAGAATTTTTCCACGAAAGCTTGGTTGCCCAAACCCAAGACTTTGGGAAAGAAATGGCCATTCGAAGACTGTTAACAATTTTTGAAAGCGTGAATATGGCTGGTTTGATCTGCGATGGGGCATTGGCAATCAGGCCCCAATTGTCTGCATAGCACAAAGGTTGAATGCCCGGGTGCATCGCAAGGAATACTTTGTAAGTTAGCAAAGAATACACGGCCATCAAGGAAACGGACAATGCACACCCCTCTGCTATCCCAGTGGTAGCATTGAAGAACTGTGAACAATTTCCTTGGATATCGAAGGATCGGCGAATATTTTTTAACAGGGACATCAGTCCTGTAATGTACTGATGGGGGATTTTGAGTTTTTCCAACAACATCGCGCTTGGTGTCCATGGGATCATGTTATAACATTTGATGATGTCAATTACCACCCCACACTTATCTTCCCGATTCCAAAAAGCATCTTCAACTACAGTAGCAGTATAAGCCGCCAAAGAATCGGCAGAGATGCCACCTGCAGTGGCAGCAACTTGCGGGGGTAAAATTGAACCAATATGGCGTAACACTTCAAGGCTTCTGAGTCTTGACCACGTCCTATATATTTTAGGCAAAATGGAAATTGGTCGAATATCTAATGGCGATTTAGGCTCAAACCCCTTAGATAGTACCACTACTCTGGCTTGGGTCCAAAGGTCTGGCCACTTTGCCCCCTTCTCAATCGTAGACAGGATGTGTAACAGAAAATGAAGCAAAGGACCGTGGACAAGCTGCAACTCGAAAGTGGAGAAGCCATCCGCTCCTCTTGCAGAATTTTTTTTGACGGCTTTGAGATTTGCAAGCCAGCGATCTGGGGTAAGTGGCTGAAATTCACAAGTTGGACAATCATTAATACATCGTAAGAAGGGATTGAAATCATCCCAATAATTGGCAGGTTCGTGACACGGGTCACGTTTCCACATTTTGCTCCACTCAGCGATCAAGCACTGGTGCATTAGTTCAGGATGGGCTGATGTCACAGGCTGTGTAATTTCAAGATCTTTACAATCTTTCAGAGTAACGGGGGACTCTAAAAGAATACCTTGGGGTTGGATTCTGCTGATGGATCTTTTTTGACCTTGAAAGGTTATCGGGTATTCACGGGAAATACCTTGGGTGCTAACCATGGGTAGCCAATTACGGCCTTCCTTGGTCCATTTCACTCGGCGCATCTGATATCTGGCAATTTTGGTGACTGATGTCAAAGGAGGAGCAGGAGCATCACGAACACTTGCAAAAGCTCTGTGGCCACCACCTTGAATATCGTCTGCAATTGATTTCTTATTGGCTGCATTTTTAGAAGCATAATATTTTTGAATCTCAGCGCTGTGAAAAGCATCAAATTCACGTTCAAGCTCCCATATGTACTCCAGGGATGGGAGGCTCAGCGGGACAAATAAGCCCAGGTGTTTCCCAATCCATGTGTGGAAACCATTGCAAAATCCATTGGCCTGGAGGATGCAGTTCCATAACTTACGGCATGCTCTAAGCGTTGTCTCTTGTCTGTTTTTAAGAAACGATGAATATTGTTGACTTAGTGCTTT